ACAACATGCAACAACTACAACAATACCCAAAGTATTAGTAACAGGGGGGGAGTACTGATGGGATGGCAAGAACAAGAAGGCTGTTAAGAAGAGTTCAGAGTCATGCGCATATTAATACCAACAAGCCAAGGATCCAGAGCGGTGAAAGCAGTAACAGTCCGTCACACTCGATTGACAAAGGCCAGACAAATGCTACAGATTGAGCAGAGCATAACAACAGTCCGTCCAGACTTATGATGATGATCATCAACAAACACAACAGCATAATCATCATCGTCGTCATCATCAGCCCTGTCATACTCGTACTACCAGTTCTCTGCTTGCAGGGCGAACTTGCGAACACACGCCATTCAACCAACAAATGCGAACACTTTCAAAGACCTTCGACTGGAAACGGGCAATGGAGGACAACACGAAACGCTAGTTCCAGCAAATCCGTGGTTGCAGCAGTTTGCACAAGACATTGACGAATTGGCTGTTCTGGATTCTGCTGCGTACACGGTGTCGCTGCTGCGCGGGAAAGTATTGCTATTGTTCACAGAGTTTCGAGAAGATTTTCTACGTATTGATGTTTCGGAGCTTAGAGCGAGGTTTCTGGGACGAGAGATCCCCCTGCCGGGATGGGTGGAACCACTGAACCTTGCTGAGCTTCTAAGAAGCCTGTGTCGCCAGTTCGGCTGAGCTTCTAAGAAGCCTGCTTCAAAAGCCAGCCCAGGAGTGCCTTTTGCTGAGAAAGAGGCTTGTGGAACCAGGGCGGAGTCTCAGGTTGTAATTCAAAGCTCCTTTCAAAAACCTGCTGAAAAATCTGGGCTCTAAGCCACTCGCCAGGACTAGGCTCGCTCCTCGGAACCCCTGGCCCTAGCTTCGTCGAAATCACAATTACATCGGCTCTCAATTCTTCAACACTCTCTAAAACTCTGATGGAGCCCCAAAAGCCCCAAAAGGCCCTCCAACAGTCCGATCAAGCCGCACATCCAGAAGACAAGTACACACTTCCGGAGACTCATCCGAAAAGCCCATGACTACAACCCGCAAGCCTCGAGGCTGGCATTGTTCAAGTCCGAGCAGGTGCCGCGCAGATAGCCCCTGAAGGCCTTGCGCCCCTGACAAAGACAAGGGCCGACTGCACTGAGCCCCAGGATGAGGATATGGGGCTAAGGCACAGTCCTTTCAGGAACTCTTGAACCTCAGGCCCCTAGGCCACCAGGCTCTGAGACCCAAAAGCCCGAAACCGGGCCCGAAGCTCCCGTGGGACCAAAAGTGAAAGGACAGAGGCAGCGCACCCAGGTGTCCCAGACAATGCTCCCACGGTCCTTGGGATATGCCGTTTTTTGTGTAGGTCTGGTGAGTGTCGTGCTTGGGTGTTTTTGGTTGTTGGGTTTCGGGCGAGAGGTTTGGAGCTTCGATTCCATCGTTGCTGTGAGCCCCGCATTGAACGGGAGAGTTTCAAGTTCGTTTGGTGGCATGGCGTGCCTTGCATGCCCAACTTCGTGCAAACACGGTGTGCAAATCCAACTTCTATGGCGTGCAGCTTTGTTGTCGAAACTTCAGTGAAGCCTTTCCAAACCTGCTCAAGCTCCCAACCAATCCCTGCTCAGCCCTGAGCCGGAACCCCTGCAAGCCCACCAAACCCTCAAAAATCCAACAGACCCAAAACCGAAGCCCCTCAAACCTCGAAGTCCCCCCTCCCCGAAACACAACCAGGCGTCGTTGGGGCTCTTCCTGGACCGGAGGAGGGAGCCCCGGCTGCCGAACTTCAGAAGCCCAGGGGTCTGGATCTTGATCCTCGGAGTTCCGACGTATGACGGTGGAACACACTTCGGGAGCTTTGCTGACTTGGGGTTTGGGATTCAAGTTTGGGTGTCTTGAGTCTGGGGTTTGGAGCTTGGAGTTCTGGGTTTGAGGTCCCTGCCTCGCAGACTCCTCTACAGGCCTTCGAGTTCCCATGCGTGGAGTCGGCCTCAAGCTCGAGCCCATGCAGCGGTTCAAGCCTTTGGGTGCTCGGGATCTCGTCAAATTTTGAGGCTTTCAAAAACCCCTAGAGGCCCTAGACCTCCATGCGCAGCTCAAAGCTCCAAGCCCTGGGCACTTCAATCCTGGACCCTTCCAAGGACAGGCTCTGTTACAAACGGCGGCTGGTGACATGAAGTCAAGATTCGAGGAGCAAAATCTTGAAGACTCTCAAGATTTAGGGATATGGGGTTTGGGAATCTTTAGGCTATGTTGCCGAAACCCCTCGACGGCCGACCCTGAAGCTTTGAACCCGAGCCTCCGAAGCCCCAAACCAGAAGCCCTGGCTGCTTCCGCCGGCACCTTTTCATCGAACCACTCGCTCCGAAGCCCTCCGCCGAGCCGAACCCGCAGAGCCAATGCAACCCCTTGAGCTCGGCGGCGACTGCTGGGGCATGTCATCTGATGTCAGCGTTGCAGCCTGCCGCACAGGTGGAAGGCTGTGCAGCAGAGGAAGGTTGCTCCAAGCCGCGCGGTTCCCAGAAGTAAGAGGTTCCCTAGACACAAGCCTGTGGTGCGGGGGTTCCTTCATGGGGGTCCCCCAAACAAGTGGCTTCGGCTTGTGCGCGCCCAGAACTCGCAAGGACTTTAAGATTCGCATGATCTTCATGAACATTATTCTGATCAGCACGACGCCTCATGCTCTAACCATGCATTGCTACAGGTCTTGTCGCAGATGCATGTTGGATTGTTCTCAGGAAGATCAAACGTTTGTATTATCGTGTGCAGCGTCAAGCAGGCTACTGCTCTTGGTCACTCTATTCAAGTGCGATCTTGGCAAAACCTACCTTCAATTTGGCTCCGAAGGTGGGGTTTTGGGCTGAGCAAAGGCTGGCTCAAGTGAAACTCTGATGGGACCTTTGCTATGAACATGTTTCTGTCAACCCATTCATCAATCCTAGTAGGACTTGCTAACGTTGCTTTGGCTCCTGGCCTTCGTCATGGTGACGCCCATCGTGCTGCGGCCCATGCTGCCCCTTGCACCACCCTCGGAACTTGGAGAGGTTTGGGGAGTTTCTTGCTTGGGGGGGCTGGGGTTGGAAATATCAGTTTCGGGCTTCGTGAACGGAGTGAGGCCTGTGCTTTTGGGGGTTGTCCGGGTTTCGGATTTCACGATCTCATGCCGTCGTACGCATCTGCCCGGCATCAGATTCGATTACATGAACTCTTTCGCGAGCTTGGAATTCAAGACTTGAAGCTCAGGGTTTCGAAAACAAACGAAGAAGCAGAGCGTTTGTGAAGCAGGGTCCACGAATCCAAGCCAGGTCACACCCCCGCCGAGCTCCTCGTCATCTTCCTCATCGATTCCTTCCCTGCAGAGACAGGGTTATGTGTTCAGACCTCTTCGCGTCTCTGTCCAGAGCCTATCAGCCTCGTACCCGTAATTGTACTTACATAAATCTTTGCGCCTCTGTTTAGAACCTACTGGCCAATCTGCCGAGCCTTTGTCTGTCGGTGGGAGCCGGGGGAACAACAGCGGAACGTCAACTGCGCAGAAGACTCTGTGCAGAGGAAGCCGTGTGTACGTCGAAGGAGAAGAGACTTTCGCACACTGCAAACCCACGAGCCCGTCTGTGCTGTCGGATCGCAGAGAACAATACAAGAATGAAAATGAAAAACCAGGAATCCGAACGCTGCCACGTACAGTAGGGATTCGAGCCCTGAAAGTATACGACACTGGTCCCCTACATGACACGCACAGCTCGTTGAACGCTCCGAGACCTTCGGGGTGTCTTCCGGCCTCAAGCGATGCAGGATCCGTGCACAGGTGGGCAACGAGGAGGCGCGCCAAACCTGTGGATCTAAAATTTCAGAGCTTGCGACGCAGGTCTCCGGCCTAGCTGCTCACCTTGGGTTCACGGATGCGGAGTTAGAGATTGAAGTGCGCTCTTCAGGTGAGGTAACATTCGAAGGTAAACTTGCCGATACAATGTTGGCGCAAGGAAAGCACTTCACGTGGCGGTGAGCCCGATGAATCCGACAGTCACAATATACATATACCTGTACATACACAAATACATGTATGTGTGTACATACATATGTGTAGATAGATGTATGTTGTATATATATATATATATGTACACACATACGTACATATAGGAAGATTATATACATACACACACACATATATATATGTATATAAATAAGTACCACTTCTGTTCTCACCAGGGCTATCACCATGATCGACTTCCAGCGTTGGCCTTGCAAAGCCCTCACCCGAGAAGCCCAGAGCCTCAGCCCCCTGGAACCTAACGTTCAAAACCCCTACAACTCTTGAAGCTCAAGACCCCCAAAAACCCAATCCCTAAATCCTTGAACCTCAGATCCTAAAACACCAAACCTCTAAAAACCTCCAACTAAAAAAAAACTTAAAACCAAGAAAGCATGCAAACCCTAAACTCCGCTCCGACAAGGACTCACGTACAAAGTACGTCAGTGCAGCGCTGCATCAAAGTTAAACAAGGAGGTGACTCCGCAAGAGTCCACCACGCCCTCAGATTTATCACTTCGTGTAGCTTGAAGCTCGTGTGTGGGGTTGGGGATTGAGTGCATCCTGAGCACGGGCATGGAAAGCTCGAAGTCATAGATCTCCTGGATGCGCCATGGAGTTTAGGCCAGAAGGCGTACAAGTGTCGAGCTACTGGCTTCCACCGATTTAAGCTTTCGGCGTGGTGGGCAAGCTTGCCACATGCCGGTAGGTCGTTCAGTGGCTTCGTCATGCCTTTCCATCAAACAAAAGTGAAGGTTTCGGTCTTCTTGCGACAAGTCTTCCCTGATCCTGACGAACCGAATCTGACACCCGAGAGCCCGACTCCGAGCAGAAGGGCTCGGAGGTTCGGGGTTTTAGGCTTTAGCGGCTTTAGGGCACGGCGGGTTCGGCGAGGCAGCAGACACAGAAGTCCTGGAAGAAGAGCCTCAGCACAAGTGAGATCTTCAGAGAGAAAAGCAGCACTCGCCTATCCCAAGTGTCTTCAACGAACGAGAAGCCCTCAAAAGCCGGCAAGCCGAAAGCACATTCGCATATTGCTCGTTCTGAAGAGTTCTAGGTTCCAGCTCTTCCATACATGCTTTCGGGTGCGCCCGAAGGCCCGAGGAGGCTTCAAGACCATCTTCAGTGCCTCCGGCACTTTCACAGCCTCCCAAAAGGGCCGAAACGAAACTCCATCGGACTCCCTAAACCCGAAAGCCCGAAAGCTGCAAACGCGGAGCTTGAAGGACACCTTCACACGACATTGCTTCTTCCCGAACTTGTCCACCTTCCAAGCGTGCAGGGAGTTTCTTCTTCTCTTGGCCGTCATCCTCTAGAAAACCGAAACCAAAACCACGCCAGGGAGCCTTAAACTCTCAACCTCCAAAACCCACGGCAAAGCCCTAACCAGGGCCACGAGAAATTCTGCCAGGGCATCGGCCTCCGACTTCCGAAACCGCTGGGATTTCGCGCTCCCCGGGCCACCCCTGAACCCTGGGCCTTGTTGCACTCCATCTCGTTCTGGATGGGCCCCTTCGCGAAGCCCAGCAACTGCTCCTCCGGGCAAGGGCGGCGTCCCGGACCCCTACCACAGATGCTGCAGATGTCATGTATCGCTTCATCCTGGCCTCTGCAAAGCAATCGAACTTGTTCACCCGCCAGCGGGCCCAGTTCCAGATCTCGAGGCCTGGGAAAGCCGCTGAAGTTGTGAAGTCCACTGTGCCGAGGGTTCAAAGGTCGAGGGTTTCTGAGGCTTCTCAACCCTCCACACGGCCTTGCGGGCAAAGCGCCCAAACCCTGTTCTACAATCTGCACAAACCTGCACAAACCGGCACAGTGCCTTTTTCTCGACTCTGGGTTCGATCTTCTTTGTGTGTTGGTTTTCTGCAGGCCCAAGGGCCTACATCGATACGCAGCCTGGGTTCAGGCACAGCAGGTCTTCAGATCTAGATCTCTTGTGCGATCGTGCAGAGCTCCTTGGCATTCGATTTCTTCATTGGGCCTGCGGAGGTGTGCTTGCATTGTTCTCTCCGGGCATCAATCGCAGGCTTCTAAGACGCCATATTGGACTTGTCTAGGCACGCCCGGCGAGCTGCTTTCCATGTCGTAATTGCGGCATGCACCTCCACCGTCAATGCCTGCTTCAAAACTAAGACTTGGGCCCGGCGGAAACCCTCAAATCTCGTTGTGGCGATCTGGCATCTTGGGTCCGGCGGGCCCCGCGGATATATTGAAAATTAGCTTGACACATCTTTAAGCCAGTAACAGCAGTACTGATTGGCAGTGCAAGTGATTTTCAGGTTTAAGACTTCATTCTAAGAAACAAGCGTCCAGGTCGTTCTCCTCCGTCCTCCTTCCTCCTCCGCCGAGTGCCAAGCCACGTGTTTTTCAGGCTCTTGGAGACTCCGGGCTAAGCTCTAAATCCGAAGACCCAAACCCCAAAAGCCCGAAATCCCACAACCTGAAACAAGCTCAGCCTGTCTCTGATCCGAGTTCTTGCGACCCCGTGGCGGAGCGTCTGCCTCTCCAGATCCAAGTAACTCCCATGCCTTGGAGGCCATGGAAAGAAGATTCAATTGCTTCTCAACCGGTCCAGTCTGAGAACCTGTTCTTATGACTGCCGTGTTGCTGTAATGGCTGTCCTGACTCCATTAGCACATCTCTGCTGTAGCATTGCTGCTACTCCTATCAGCATTGCAATCACAATGCCAGCACATCTTTCATGGCTGCTGTGAGCACAACGCCGCTCGAAACCCTTTCACATGGCGTCTCACGGCCGGAGAGTTGGGTTTCGAAGGCTTCAGAGCGGGCAGAAAGGGCATTGGGTCATTAGGGGGGTTCAGGGCCAGGGTTCCACTCTTGGCTCCAAGGTCTGACTGAAGGCTTCGGGCTGGACGCAGAAGCGCATTTTGTCTTCCCTAAAGCCTACTGTAGCGAGGCAGGCAGGTAGGCAGGCAGGCAGGCAGGCAGGCAGGCAGGCAGGTAGGTAGGTAGGTAGGTAAGTAGGTGGGAAGCGGACAGAGAGGCATGCTTGCGTGTTTTCAAAATGTTACAGCCGCGGTGCCACTCGAAAGAGGTGTCGAAGTCACACTCCGTGTCTTCACCATCACCTGCGGATGTGAGTTCCACAGCCAAGTCCGTACAGATCTGTCAAAAGCACACCGGACATCCTGCTCGTTTTCCCCGGTCTCTCTCATGCCCTTCTGCATCCCTGCCGCTTTCTCCAGAAACTTGAAGCCTCTACCTTGAGCCTCTCTACACACCCAGAGCCCAAATGCAAACTTCTTGAAACCCTCAAAACCTTTGTCTCGCCTAGAAGACTTCGAAGACATGCCGAAACTCGAAATTTGAGCTTGGGGCTTCCTGACCGGCCCACAGCAGAAGCTCCCCGAAGCTTGAGGGCACGAATCCCGCACCCTGCAGCCCAAAACAGATAAGCTGAGATTGTGAATGGTCTTTTGTGGCCCTCAAGGTCCAAGCGCAGTCAAACCCAAATCCGCAGATCCGGTGATCCCTTCTGCCTGGCACGTCGTGTACCACCGGTGTGCGGAGAATAACGCCTTCGTCGCCTTGCAAAACATATAGGATTTCTTGGCCACGGCTTTGTGGTGGGCGCGCGTGCTGAGCTTGAAGTAACTTCCCTCGGTGGTTGAAGGTTTGGGGACGTGTACTCGGCCATGTTTCAGGCTGTCTCGAAGTCCCAAAACCGGACTGGAGGCACACTCAGAAGACGACGACGACCAACCATGGCGGTCACGATGCCGGTGGTGAAGACGGAGTGTCGTCTTCTTTCTTCAATTACTGCAAAGATTCCTGGAACCATCTTGGTTACGATGACGAGCACTCCTTGTTGTCCTTCTTGCATCAACTAAGTTGCGGCCCTGCGGCCAGCAACCCAAATCGCAGGCTCCTTTCCCCCGGCGCGGACAAGGAACTCCTCCTGCAGGCCCGGCAGTGGGCTTTGGAGTGTTGTGGGCTCAAGGAGCTTGTCAGAGGCAGATCGGGATCCTACCCGCCGAACCCTCTGAACTCCTTGGTGCCCCCGAAGATGAAGTTCGCGAAGACCAAGATGGCTTCGTCAGTCATGTTCTCGATGCGCACCTGCGGAGGGCCGGTCTGCCATTGGGGCCATTGAGTCGATGTCACACAATGACTGCTAGCATTCCTGCCACCATCCGGTCATGCATCCGCTCCATGCTGTGGTCTGAGTCTGTGTGGCTCTACATCTACTGTCCGAGTGGTCCTAGTTGCTACCCGACAAAGGCAAGAAAGTGGATGTGGAGCCCAAGGCCCGTTCCTGGCGGAGTCCCGATGCGCAAACCAGCTATGCGCAGCTGCACCCGCCATTCTCAACGTCTTCGAAGGATAGTAAAAGAAATGACTGCAAAGGGGGAAAGGCAGGTTGACCGACAGGACTTCGGCAGTGGGATCCAAGTTTCGGGAACGGCCGAGCTTCCTGTGTTCGTCCATCTCAGCTTCAGCTTGAAGCCTGGGGCCTAGGGCTCTGGGCTTTAGGACCTCAAAAGACCTCCAAACACCGCGACAAAACCCAGCAAGAGTGCCTGCCAAAGCCTCACTTGCCATCGCCTTGGGCGAGACCAGTGATCACGTTCCTGCACGCTTTGTGAGGCTTCTGAGTTGAAAGGGAGGGCCCCGCTACAATCTCGAAATCAGGCTTGAGGGGGGACCGGTAGCTATTCGTACATGTGTTTTCCACGGCATACCAAAAGCCCCCGTTGTCATGGTCCCAGGACAGCGTGTTCATTCGATTGCCAACTTGCTGGGAAACAGTTCGCCACACTGCACCATCCCAGGCTCAGACGAATGTCTGATGTTGCTGCTTTCCTGATGTTCCCTCGAAAGACGTAAAAGAGAAATAAGACTTCCTCACATGGAATGGTCCGAAGAACGAACATTTTTATAGCGTTGGAACCAGCAGCAATAGTAACATTACATATAATGATGGTTCAGGTTTGCATACCGCGATAGTTCCAAGAAGCTGCCCAGCTACACACCTAGTGACAACAAACCTGACTTGTAGTCGTTGCAGTCGTACAACCAAGAGTTACAATAACAACAAGAATGAAAGATGCTAGCAGCAATAGCGACAGCAGCAGCAGCAGCAGC